CATAGGTGGGAGGATCACAGTCCAAGGCTTGCTCTGGGCAAAAACTCAAGACCCTGTCTGAAAAATAATTAGAACAAAGCAAGACCTTGGCATAGCTCAAGAGGTGAGGCCCTGAGTTCAAAAGCTAGTACCATCTAAACAAACAACACCTTTTAAATTAAGAAAATAGATTTTTCTGCTTTAGTAGTACAGATGCTCCTCAACTTATGCTGGTGTTCTGTCCTGGTACATCTGTCATTAGTGAAAATAATGTAAGTGGAAAATGCATTGAGTACACCTAACCTGCCAGACATGCTAGTTTAATAACTAAGCACACTAAGGAGTCCTGGCCCTTTACTCACGAGTCTGTGGCTGACTTGCTGTTCTTGGTTGCTGACCAGCTCCCCAGGAGAATGCTATACCATGCACCATGCACTGCTTGCCTGGGAGAGGACCCACATTCCAAGTACAGTTTCCACTGAACATGTGTAGCTCTCCCACTGCTTTGAAGCAGACGAGTGTAGGTTGAGCCAGGGATTGTCTGTGGATTTCATGCGTGAGGTCTTCTATAACCCTGAAGATGTTTAAATATATTTGTGTTCTTCAAGTTTTTCTCTTTCGGCATCTTTTTCCCTTTTTTTTTTTTTTTTTTTTTTTTTTGTTTTGTTTGTATTAGATAGCTACACAGGGAGTTTCATTGTGACATTTCCATGAATATATGTATTATAGCCCAAATTGAGCTCATCCCCTCTATTTTTCTCCTTTTTACCTTAGTCCCCTTCTTAGGGTGATTTCAGCAGGTTTAAAAATTCTTTATTCATTCTTTTTTTTTTTAAGTTGTTATACCCGAGCTACATTGTGGCATTACAAAAGTTATTACAGTGTATCAGATACATTATAGTTGAAGTCACACACACACTGCCAATTATTCTCCTTTGCCCCTCCCTGTCCCTCTAGTTCTCTTCTGAGTTAAAACAGTCTGTGGATTGTTTTTGTAACAGGAGTCTTCTAAACATTATAGGTATTTTTGACAGCAAATAATACATAGAAAAGGCTTAAAAATTCTTCTTGTATTAGGACTATTTTCATAAGATTTATTGAACTGTACAGTTGAAGAGATTTTATATTCAAGTAACATGAGCTCAGTTGTTTTATGATTTGAAGTAGCTCCTTAAAGTTCTAATTTATATCTCTCCATAAGAACTGAATGAGCTTAGCTGATTTGAGATCTTTGTGTTATTTTTTTTTTTGCATTATGTTTTCCTTTTGGATTATTCTTTTGTATATGATTTCACAGAGTAGACTATAGAAAAAAATAAAATCTTACCTTCAATAAAGCTAAACTTAGCAAAAATTTTTGGGTCTTCAAAATTCCATTTTAAAAAGAAATATTAACACAATAGCTGTGTGAAATTTGTATCATTTTGATGCTCAGAGACAGTTACCTTATTAACAGATTTATAGATAAGTACTGTATGCTCAGATCTCCCAGATATGTTTTTCAGTTTTTGTGAGAAATTAGGCATTTAATTCAATGGTGAATCTAGATGATAACCCACAGTATTACACACTGTAACTTAGCCACTAATAAGAGAATACAAATTTTTTTCAGTTAAATTGTTTGTTGCCTATTAATTAATAGGCAATACTTGCCAATAGACAGTGTTATTTATTGTATTTATAAAGAAGCATATATTGCTGTATTGTTATTTTAATAGCTATGTTAGTGTAGTTTCTTTCATAATCTTATGTTTTATGCATTTAGAGATAATATTATATAAGGGAATATAGTTTTAGGATTCAACAGAATACCAAATAGGTTCATGAACCAAAAAAGGTTAAAACTTGGAGAAAAATGAGGGGAGGCCTAGAGTCTTAAACTCTCCATTGTCCTTGTAGGCCAGTGTTCTAATTATAGAGTGAAAATTTAACTGGGATGCTATGAGATTCAGTGTCATTAACTCATGGTCCTCCCCAGAGCCTCAGATAATTTTGCTAATGTTTCTTGTGACAGAACCACTGTACAGTCCTTATTTGCAAACCTACAATTCAGAAAGGTCTAAAAGATAAAAACCTCTTTCCTAAGTTTGGCATCTGCCTCATTTGGTGGCAAAATCTAACTGGTATGACTTACATAAATAGTCTTCCTACTGAATATAAATGTTCAGACAGTTTCTTGTAAGAATGTTAATGTGTTCGTTATAAAGTACTGTCCTGGTCAAACTGGGAGAAGTACAAGATGTGTTTGATAAGCCTTCCTAAAACACTGTAAATTTATAACTCACAAACACAACTGCCTCTGAAGGTTTTAAATAAGAGATTATGGAGCTTCAGGAATAAAATGACCAAAAGTGATGGTGACCTTGGTAACAGCAGTATACGTATCTATTGCAGTTAGTTTTACATTTGAAAAAAGAACCTAAATTCAGTGTAACTTGTTTAGGTGGAGACCACCTATATTCACACATAGTCAAAGTGACTTTTCTTAATAAGCCATATTTTTAAGATAAGAATTCTATAACTTTTCTGAAAAGATTTCTGCTCAATATTTCACTTTATTCTGCATAAAGAAACTTAAAGGTAGATGTCTTATGGTTATAAATCAGACTATCTAACTATGAGGTATTTATTTAACATCTACCATGAGTCAAGCACTGTATAGGCTTATGTTTATGGTCAACAAAAGAGACATGATCCCAGGCCTTCTAAGACTTAAATTGTAGTGGTGAGGATATCCATTAGACAAACATTAAAGTTTGAGATGATTATTGTTCTTGTGGAGGTGTTAAGTAACAGTATGATATACAAGTCTGCAACCCAGAAACACTGTGGGCTAGAGATACAAGTTAAGGAAGTATCAGGATACATATTTATAGCATCAGTAACATACAAGAGTACTTTGCAAGGGACTGTGGAAGCATAGTGTGTGGGCTCTGAGGACTTTATCATTTAAGCAGTTGCAGGAGGGTCTCAGACAAATGGAGGAGGAGACGGTGCCAGGAGGAAATCAGATGGTGCAGTATTGAGAACAGAAGGTGTGTTGTGGCCGGTGCTGTCAAACAGCCGTTTAGGATGAGGACATATGGGGATTGTGACTTTGTGACTTTGCTGGTGGTTTCAGTAACTTTACATTGTAATGGATTAAAAGTGATGGAGAGAGAGGAGTGACAGTGTGCAGACATCGTTAGAAGGAATGTTGCTAGGAAAAGGTGCAGAAATGGGACTGCAGCTGGACGGTGTGAGGGGGTAGGCAGGTTGGGGCTGAGTTTGACAGAAACAGACTCCTTTTCCACTGTGAAAGGAAGAAAGGGCAGATTGTACATTTCAGTGTGTTTCATCTAATGACTTATTTTGAGCTGAAACCCAGAGAGACAAAAAGGGTTAAGGAAGGCCTAAGAAAAAAGAAAATGTAAATGGCTTTCTTGAAGTGTAGGTTGGCGTCTGTAGGGCAAAGTGATGAATCAAGGCAACGAGCAAAGTTAGCTGAACAGATCTTGGGTCCTTGCTTTAGTTGGAAGCCATCATTGGTGCTGGCATTTGCTCTGGGTTTGTGGCTTTTCTCTTTTTTTTTTTTTTCTTTTGGTAATTTCTGCGGTTGTAGAAGAGGGTAGTCTATGGGTGGTTACAGTCACCCAAGCATGTAAGATTCTCACTGAAGTGTGATTTCTAATTGGGAATAATTGTGCGACTCAACCTTAAAAAGAATACACTGAACACAGTTTAGCTGTTCCTTGATTTCTGAGGTTTTCGTTACATTAAGCTGTGATGCTCTGGTTTTCAAAGTCACTGCTCTGGGGTAAACTTAGCAAGTGTTTCTTGAGTACATACCACAGCAAGGGGCTCTGCTGTTGAAATAAGAGTTAAAATCGCTACCTTAAGTAGTACCTGCCTCAGGAGAATGGCAAGTGCTGTGAAAGCAGCCTGTGCCAGAGAAACACTTACGGGGGACCCTCTCCAGGAGAGGGGACCAAAAGTAGCCTTACCTTGGAACATAAAAGATCCCTTGTTTGAATTCATTATTTGAAAGTAGTTACTAGAGTTTTAGGTCAGGCTATAAAAAAACAATAAAACATTATATATTTTCAATAAGAAATATTTTTAAATAGTTTTATTGTTTTAAAGGTAGAAGTAAAGAATTTGAGTCACATTATGTTCATTTTGAGCACTAGTGTTGAAAATGTTTTTTCATTTGGTAAGGTAAGTTTTAAAATTTTGTGGAGTTTGAGTGCTTTTAAGGGATAGTAAATATGATGGCAATGATACTATTGTGTTTAACTTACAAACTTTCTTTTTTTGATACTTCATAAACTTTTTTTTTAAATACCACTTTGACTAAAAACGGAATAAAGAAAATGAAATTTTGTGCATTTGTTTTTGGGAGTGAGTGAGTAAACACAGGAAGCAAGTGAGCTGGGGGAGAAAGGGAGTTCAGATAGCATTTACTGAACACCTGCTGTAAGGCAGGTGCCTTACTAGGTACTTTCATATATAGCAAATGCATTTAGTTTTAACAAAACCTTATGGAATGTAAGATCATTGGTGCCCATTTTATAGACAGGAAAAATCATGCCTAAAATAATTTACTCTGAGCCAGATGGGTAGTGGTAAAGGTCAGGAGTTAACCCTCAATCTTTGGCTTCATTGCCTCTTTCTTATAAAAAATTGGTATTATAAAATAACATAAAAAGGCTTTACATGTGATTTTTTTTTTTCTAAGCAGAAAAGCAAAGCAGTGTTGAGGAATAAAGTAGAGCTCCCTGTCCTGGCCCGCATCTTGGGGCAGTTTGTGGATGTGTTATGTATTGGTTGTGAGGAAATCACAAAAATTGCTGCCTGGGATTTTTTTAAAATATATGCATAGGTGAGACTTTTAAGTTTTTCCTTAAATTTAATTTGTCATGTGGCTGAAATGGAATAGATTACACCTAGCTTAAATGTCATACTTAATATTTTATGCCTTACAATTAGTCCTGTAAAACTGTTTAGTCAGCTCCATTAACCCCCATCTTTAATGTTCCTAGGTTATTGAATCTTTGGGAATTATTATTTATAAAGCATTGGACTATGGCTTGAAGGAGAATGAAGAAAGGGAGTTGAGCCCTCCCCTAGAGCAGCTCATTGACCATATGGCCAACACGATGGAAGCTGAGGGCAGCAATGATGAAGGCTATGAGGCTGCAGATGAAGGCCTGGAAGACGAAGAGGATGGAAAAAGGAAGATCTCAATGATTCGGTCCTATCGAGATGTCATGAAGGTAAAGCTGCATTGTATGTAGTACTTGTTTCTCTAAGAGTGGTTTTTTTAAAAAACGGAATGGTAAGTCCACATTTGGTAATAGTTCTCAACTTTCAGCAACCTGAATGTGGCCTTTAAAGATTGAACCATAACTTTCAGGTATAGTATATGCGCCTCATCATTACTTCTCAGACACCAGCTGGCTGGACATTGTGCCTTCAGCTGACTTCGTAACAACTACAGGCCACTTATTTACATGAAGACTAAATCCCAGTATCATGGCTGATTGTTTTACTTTTTTTCTTGACTTACCTTGTAGGATTTATATGCATTGAAACAAGTTCAGTGGGTTAGATTGCAGTTTTCTGTGTAGATAAATTTTGATGTGTAGTTGAAGGTCATAATGTCTGCAGTGTGAAATGTGCAGAGATTAAAACCAAAACAGATTTGACAAATTAGACAGGGAAGTAGAAGACTATGAAGACAGTGCTTTTCAGGTGTGCTGAGCTCCTTCCTGCTCTTCAGATGTGATGTCTTTCGGGACTCTGAAAAGAAAAGGACCATACGAACTATGATTCTTGTGAAATTCAGATATATTTTTTCTTCTCTTTCTTTATTTTTCAGTTTTCAAAGAGGAAATACTTTTATTGCTTTTAGCTTACTTAAAAAGGTGGGTATTATTATAAGCAGTATAGAAATATACACAGTAGAAAATTAAAGGCCCCATAATCCTATTGTCATATAGTCAACTATAGAAGATTTATTCATAAATTGAAATAAATGTAATAAATGTGAAATGAAAAGTATTTATACGGTCATAAGAAACACAGCAAAGTGATACATGTCGATTTAAAATGTAACTTTAACATGGCCACATTGGGAAGACAGAGGAAAGCAGAGGAGAGGATAAAAGAGAAAATCCTCCCTTTTCCTTTATGAGTAGACAGAAATACACATTTTTAGCAATATGCACATGTCTGTGAAAAAACAGCAAAGAAGCTGCCTCTGGGGAGCAGGATCTGGTGTCATTGGCAGGGCACACAAATTACTCCTGTGTTTGGTTATAAACCTATTAGAACTACGTGTATTTTTTTTTTTTTTTGAAGACAGGGTCTCACTATGTAGTTCAGGCTGGACTTAAACCCAAATCTGGCCTATGATAACCTGGAAATTGCTATGTAGCCCAGGCTGGCCTTGAACTTGTGTTCCTCCTGCCTCAGCCTCCTGAGTGCTGGGATTACAGGCATTAACCACCATAGCGCCTGGCTTCAAATCATTTTAATATCTACCTTTTGGGGGGTTAATATAGCATTATTTTGATAGTTTATAGAATTAAGTTTTATTTTTTAAATTTCAATATTGTTATTAACAAGTTCTGGTTTTTAGTACAGGCTTAGTGTCTCTATTCCCAGTATCATGAATGTTTGGGACCAGAAGTATTTTGTACTTTGGAATATTTACTTATACATTTTGCTATATTTTGGGGTTTGAGACTGAAATCTAAGCATGAAATTCACTTATGTTTCATACACACCTTAAACATATAACCGAAAGTAATTTTATACCTCATGTTGTGTACGGAACAGTTTCATAGTGTGGAATTTTCCTCTTGAAACATGGTGGTGCTCAAAATTTTGGATAATGGGATATTTCAGATTTTAGACTTTCAGATTAGGGATGTGCAACTTGTACTGTGCTAGTGCAAAACACTGGCTCTCTCCTAGCTACTCAGGAGGCAGAGATCAAGAAGGTTGTGGTTTGAAGTTGTGGTTGTGGTTGCCAGCCTGGGCAAATAGTTCATGAGACCCTATCTCAAAAAAACCCATCACAAATCAGGGTTGGTGGAGTGGCTCAAGTGGTAGAGCACCTGGCTAGCAAGTGTGTGGCCCTGAATTTAAATCCCAGTACTGAAAAAAAAACCAAAAAACTCTATTTGGTATTAAGTGTTCCTATGTTCAAATACTTCCCAACCAAACTTTGTACTCCGAGACTTTTGTGGATATTTACATAATAAATACAGTTCTGATCACTGAAGTATTCATTGTTCTTTATCCTTGGGCGTCTGAAGTCAAGGGACCCCTGCACTAAGTTTTCATTTGTTTTGGCTTGCTGGCCTGACAGACTGTCAAGAGCAGGAGTTTTTCCTTGGTGTTTACTTTCTTGTACTAACTCAGTTTTTCCCTCTGGTTGAGGAATTTTGTTTTCTTTTTTTTTTCTTCTTTGGAGGCTCACACTCTCCAAGCATATTTTTAGGACAAGCCATTGCTCAGGTGTTCATTTTCCCTACATTCAGAGCACTTAGACTTAGCAAAGGAGCTTGGGCTGCAGATGAACTTGGCTGCTCTTCCATTGTTATCACTGTCAGATAGCTGTTGTTTATTGTTCTGTGCAGTTTTGTGCAGTTTTCATCCAAAATAAAATCAATGGAACCTCTTCACTTTGCCTGGTATCTTTGTCTTTCGTTACAGTAGCTTCACAACTTTGCCATACTTGGAAAATACCCGGTGTAAGTGATTGTCAGGAAGAAGGGTAAGTTGGATACACACCATGCTCATATTTCGAGCCAAGCCACCACTCATTTCTTCAGGTGGGGCAGTTCGCTGGTGCTCAACTACAAGTCTTCCTCCCGCACTGCGGCCTCAGCAGTAGGTTCAGGCAGGGGTCAGGCACAGAGACCAGTTAGCAACCCAGATCTCTTCTTAGGTCTTTTATTACTGTTGCTACTTCTCATTTTAAATCAATAGCCTGTACAAGTAAAATATCCTCATGTATACACAAATTTAAATTTCACACATTTTATTCATTTTAGGTTTTCTAGGTTATTTTTAAATATGTATGTAATGAAGGACATTATACATTATACTAAGTAAAATAAGCCAGACACAGAAAGACAAGAATCATACCTTCCTTTTCAGATGTGGAAGGTACAGAAACTCAACCTGAATTGAACTAGGGATTACTAGAGGTTGGGTAGAGATGGGGTGGGCAAAGGCAGGTTAGCTTTAATGAGCACGGACTGTATGCATGTACAATTACTATGTGCATGGCAATAAAATAATTTTTAAAAGAAAAATACATATAAATATTCTTAAACGCAAAGCATACTTTATCACTCTACCAAACAACTGTTGTTTATTGTTCTGGTGCAGTTGTGTGCAGTCTTAACCAAAAATAAAATTGAAAAATAGGGTCTACAGCCCAAACATGACCTGCTTGTTCTATAGAAGATCAATGAGGGTGATTATAAAAATGAGGAATAAAAGATTGTACATTAAGAAGCAAAGCTACTTATACCACTGAAAGTGGGCTAACAGTTTTTTGGTGGTGCGCGTGCACAAGGAGTTGTAAAGGAGGAAGGGAATATGCACTTAACCAGTTGGATTAATCAAATCAACTCTGGCACCAGAGGCACCACAGGTAAAGTAACTAGGTTGCTCTTTTACATTACAGTTTTGGAAGATGAGGGCCAGAGATTAATGGAAACAGCATTAAGTATGTTAACTTGTAGAACAAAAATTCTTGAGCATTTAACAGTTTGAATGGATATTATTTTTTAATTTGAGCTACTGTGTTTGCCTGAAGATGTGGCTCAAGTGGTAGAGTTACAGACTTCAATCCCAAGTAATGTAAAAAAAGAAAAAATTTTCTAACATGGTATGAAAAATAAATTATTAAAAGCATACATAAATCTGGGTGCAGTGGGTCAATCTGTAATCCTAGCTTTGAGGTTCAAAGCCAGCCCAGGCAAATAGGTTGGGAGACCCTATCTCAAAAATACCCAACCTCCTAACCCGCCCCCCCCCCCAAAAAAAAAAAGGCTGGTGGAGTGGCTCAAGTGATAGAGCACCTACCTAGCAAGTTTGAGACCTTGGGCTCAAACCCCCAGTACCACCATAAATAAATAAGCAAGCATGATGGGCAACAGTGGCTCACACCTGTAATCCTAGCTGCTTGGAAGACTGAGATCAGGAGGATCACGGTTTCAGGCCATTCCAGGCAAAGACTTTGCAAGACCCCATCTTAACCAGTAGCTGGGCATGGTGGTATGCACCTGTCATCTCAGGCTACTCAGGAGGCTGAGACTGGGATGATCGTGGTGCAAGGCCAGCCCAGGCAAATAAGTTTGCTAGACTCCATCTCAACAGAAAAAAGCTGGACGTGGTGGCACACTCCTGTCATCTCAGGTACAGCAGGAAGCCTAAAATAGGAGGATTGCTGTCCAGGCCTGCCTCGGCAAAAAGCAAGATTCTGTCTCCAAAATAACCAGAGCAAAAAAGGTTGGAGGTGTGGCTCAAGGGATAGAGGGCCTGCCTAGCAAGTGTGAAGCCCTGAGTTCAAACCCCAGTTCTTATGCCCCACCCCCAAAATGTGCTTAAGAAGACATTTTATGTGGAGATCATGTTAATCAAGGAAAAACCAAACTCAGAAAAACAAATACTATATGGTTTGGCTCATATGCAGAATCAGCATTTGATTCTAAAAGGGGGACCATTTCAGGGAAGGGTAAGGGAGAAGGAAAGGGTGATAAGGGTGAATGTTATCAAAGTACATTATATATGTGTATGAAAATAGCATAATGAACCCTAGCCTACACTATTTTAAAAGGGGGGTTGAGAAAGTAATAGGGTTAAATTTGATCAAAGTACATTATATGCATGTATGTGAATATCACAGTGAAATCCTTTGTGCAGTTATTTATGATGATAAAGACATTTTATAGATTGGAGGGAATTTATAACTTTACCAAATTTGTTCGTAGTGATTCTATTTGAGAATATCATAACCTCACTTCTTACTTCTGGGTTTCTATGCTTATCAAAACTGGTCCATAAAATTTCCCACATCTGTATCACTATGTTCTGAATGTTCCTTTTGGCTAAATGAGAAGAAAAATAATTGCTGAGACATTTTAAATGTCATAAAACCCATTACTCCTGACCGTAGAGGGACACATAGGAATTTATGGTTTGGTTAGTGGGTTGAAAACCTCAATTAGTAAACTAACTTTGTTGAAAGAGAAGACAAGAATTAACTGAAGAAACTTGCTTTGTTGTTTAGAGTAGAAATGTGAAACTTAAGTTTGTGTGGTGTAAGTGATAGGCTACTTAGGGTCTTATAGACAGTTTTTCAGTTCTTAGTGAGTAAGACCTCTTACTGTGTAACATATACACAATTCTTGCCTTTATTTATGGCTCTTAATTGTAATGGAGAGAAACAGAGTATACACAATTTAAGCATAAACATGATAATTTTTCTGACACATTCTGAGGATCTTTGCCACTAATTATAGGTCCAAATAAATTATAGGCACAAATTTGTGTCAGAACTAGAACATGTAACTCCCCTAAGTTAAGAATATAACATCTTGGACTGGATGAATTCAGGCTAGCAAGTGCAAAGCCCTGAGTTCAAACTCCAGTACTGCCACCCCTCCAAAGTATGACATCTATAATATTTTCCTTTCAATTTGTTTCTTGAAAAACACATATAACTAAGCAAGGGCTTAGAAGTATTAAGAAAGATATTAAGAAACGATCATGCTTAAAATTATTTTGATAGCTATAAATGTATGCCTGAAAGGATTCATTCTGTCAACATTAGAAAGAAAAAGGATTGTCAGAGTGTTAGTGATGGTGGAAAATAACGCGTAGAAGAGGTCGGGTGATAGAGACAAGGTTAAAGATAGTGGAAGAGGAAGACATGAGACATGGAGTAGAAAGCAGAGTTCAAGAAGTGTACTGAGATGTGATTGAAATTTGTATGACAATAGCCCATGAACAAAGTTCTACATGCAAGATGAATGTAAAACTTTATTTTACCTTTACAAATATTCAGCAACCATTTAGTACATATACCTTCTTTGTTCTGGGAACTGTATTAAGCAGTTGAATTGCCACAACAAATAAATTACGGTTCCTGCTTTCAAAGAACTAACCCTCTAAAGTGAGAGGTAAGGTAAATGAACAACAGTGGGGTAAACATTGTAAGCCAGGTTTGAAGCCTGTATAAAGAATTCATGAGCTTTATGAACATTAGCAAACGGCTCTCCTTCTTTAAGAAACTTTCTCCCATTTGTGAAATAATTGTTGTAATAAATGTAAATTTATATTGTGTCTTATTTAGAGGATATGCTTCTAGAGGTGGTACCCTCACGAGCAGTCTGCACAGATGGAAGGGGTGGTTCATGTGGACCTGGGATGCTTTGAGGGCACTGAGGAACAATTCCATAAAAATTTTAGGATCAGCTTTTCCATTTTTATTTTAAAGACTATTGGGATTTTGTTAGATATTGCAATCTGTAGATCACTTTAGGTAATGTTGCCATATTAACAACATTAAGTCCATGAATACAGTATTTATTTGGGTCATTGTTAGTTTCATTTGCAGTGTTTTATGGTTTTCTGTGTGTAAGTTTGTAATATTCTTCATAAATGTCGCTTTTTGTTGTTTCTTGCTTGTACTAAGATAAGCATCTTATGAAACTTCATAGATTACTGTTTTTTATATAAAATACATCCTCAGGAATGTATTCCATAGGAAACTGTTAGGGTTTAGGGGTGAAATGTCCCCCCAAAAGTCTCATGTGTTGAAGGCCTACTCCCCACTTGGCAGTGCTATTGAGGTCTCAAGAGCAAAAGCCTCTTTTTTTTTTTTTTTTATAGTAACTCTAACTATTTTATTTTATTTTTTTCATTTTTCTTTTATTATTCATATGTGCATACAAGGCTTGGGTCATTTCTCCCCCCTGCCCCCACCCCCTCCCTTACCACCCACTCCACCCCCTCCCGCTCCCCCCCTCAATACCCAGCAGAAACTATTTTGCCCTTATCTCTAATTTTGTTGTAGAGAGAGTATAAGCAATAATAGGAAGGAACAAGGGTTTTTGCTGGTTGAGATAAGGATAGCTATACAGGGCATTGACTCACATTGATTTCCTGTGCGTGGGTGTTACCTTCTAGGTTAATTCTTTTTGATCTAACCTTTTCTCTAGTTCCTGGTCCCCTTTTCCTATTGGCCTCAGTTGCTTTTAAGATATCTGAGCAAAAGCCTCTTCAGTGGATTCATTGATAGCTCTTAGCTCAATGGGCTATTAGGATGTGAGCCAAATTGGAGAAGATGATGGGGGAATCCCTTTGAAAGCATTCTTGTCCCTCCCCCTACCCCTTCCTCCTCTGTCTCTCTCTGCCACCTGTCTGCCATGAGGTAAGCCACTTTGTTTCACACTGTGCTGCCTCCCATAACATATTGCCTCACCAGACACAGGAACAGAAGCAACGGAGCCAGGTGACCATAGACTGAATCCTCTGAAACCATTAGCCAAAGTAAATCCTTCCTCCCATAAGTTGTTTTTCTCAGGTATTTTGTCACAGTAATAAAAAGATAACTAACACAGAAACCTTTTCCACAGTACCAAGAAAAGCTAAGAATTGATACAAAAGGAAATGTGAAAAGCAAAAATCTTACCAGCTTTTTTTACTATTGACAGAGCTACCAGTGAACATCTTTACATTATTAAAGGCGTTATTAAGATACAATAAAAATGTATATTTTAAGCAATTGTTTTAATGTCAAATTTATTAAGAGAACTTAACTTTTTAGCACAAATGAAGTTCTTTAAAACATAACTATTGTATGTAGATACATAATTATTTTTATAGACAGATAAAATTATTCTTATGAACTCTGAAGAGGGTGTCTTTGCAGTCTAATAAACTGAATGGTGTTTGTTTTTTCTGAATTGCTTTGCATGATGTTAAATTGCATCTTTTACCCACAGTCATCTTGGGGCGATGATGGATCATGTAGGGTCAAGGAGGTCAGTACTGCAGATAGCACGAGGGTGCGCTATGTGCTGTGTGCCCTGTTTGCTCCACTCTCCATTACCCTCTTCCTCCAAGTCCACATATTTTTCTGCCATTCTTTTTACATATCACGAAATTCAACATATATAGGAGGCAGACTGGGCTTCAGAACCTATAAGGACTGCGTTTGGATTCTCTTCCCTCATGATGACTTTGTGACTGTGGACAGGTTACCTGACTTCTCTTAACCTCAGTTTCCTCTGCTACAAAATTCAGGGTTCCATTGAAAAGTGGTAGCCCTATGCAGTTTATATGACATGCCAGATATAGTATATATCTGATTTAGATATATACTATATCTATACAGATATAGTCATAATCAATGCTCAGTCAATGGCAGCCAGTTACTGTCAGTACTCAATAAATGGTGATTTTCTCTTTCTGTTTCCAAAAAAACTTTTACATATGTCTTTTCATTTTCAAATCAAAGCTCCTTCTAGTCAGCACATCTACACTGTTAGGTTTCTATTACTGGGCCACTTTTCCCTCATCGTGTAGATTTTACTGCTTAAAAAATCAGTAAAGTCTTAGGTAATAGGACATTCCTAACTGTCTAATAGGAAAATACATGTATACTAAATCCAAATAATAACCAGGCTGCATTGTTTTATTTTTCTTTCCTATAGCTATGTGCTGCTCATCTCCCAACTGAGTCAGAGGCACCAAATCATTATCAGGCAGTGTGCCGTGCGTTATTTGCAGAGACCATGGAGCTGCACACGTTTCTGACCAAAATTAAGAGTGCAAAGGAGGTAAGCAGAGCTGTCTTTAATACTTACTGGCATTGTAAAAGGTAAGCCTGAATTTTTAATATTGTCCATCCTGGTATTTTAAAATATGTATTTCTGTCCTTCTGATGAGTGCTGAAATCATTTAGGAAAAAAAAATGATTTACCAAGATTAAACACCCCCACACGCAGGGTTTTATGTAGCCCAGGCTGGCCTTGAGCTCACAACCCTGTCTCAGCTTTGCGAGTGCTGGGATTGCAGACATACCACCAGCATGTCTGGCTCAACCCTGTTCTTAAATGTTGGCAGTATGAATCCATTGTATAAAGCAAAAATTTCCATAAAGTTTCCCTCCATGTGAGCAATGAGTAGTCCCAAATTAGTTTAATCAGCTTTCCACGGTACGTGCCTTTCACCCCTTTCCTGCCTCTCTTTTGTCAGCTTTGGAACATGTTAGTACCTTTTTCTAGAAAAGATACAGACTCAGAAAAGAGGTGACACTTCTAATTATTTAACTGTTTTAGAGTAGATTTGATTAAAGATTTAGTGGAGGAGATTAGAATTAATATTCGATAATCCTAAGTCATCTAGCTATTTTATTTATCAGTTAACAAGTCAATATCTATGAGCTTAAAGTGTGAAGTCCAAAGAGAATTATTCTGATTTATTTAGGAGGTGGTCATGTATATTACATGGTGGTTGTGAAGATTCAGTGAAATCAACATGTGGCATTGAGTGAGAGATCAATACATGAAACGTAGCTGGAATCATGTCTTTATGACTAAAGCGCAATTTATGAGAAATGCTAATGCTAAAATTTACCATTACCCACAGTTCAGGGAGAGACGCGTGTCAAATCTGTAAGTGAGGAAGGAAAACCAACCTAATTGCCAAATAGGACTTAACTAGCTCCAGTAGGCATCAGATGTCTTGGCCACATCACGTTTAGTCACCCCATGCAAACCCATTATGTAATTGTGAATAAGAACTCTAAGCATTCATTCTTCTTTTGACCTGTCTGAGGTACTACTCATAGTTTGTTTCTTTTTGATAGGCCAGTGAGAAGTCATGACTTTTTTAAAATTTATATTTTATTAAAAAAAAAAGAAAACTGGACCAGAGAGGAAAGATGGGGTTCTCACTAACTTTTTGTGCAAGCTGGCTTTGAACCATGATCCTCCTGATCTCTGCCTCCTGAGAAGCTGAGATTACAGGCATGAGCCACCATATCTGGTCATAGATAGAATAATTTTAAAACTAGGAAGTCAGTTGGTGTTATGTTCTTAAACAGCTGTACCCTTATTGCCTCCATGTTGGGAGAGTGCAGAGTGTTTGCTCCCAGGTCTCCAGCAAGGCATTGTTTTTTAGTAAAGGAGAGACTGCATATTATAGTATGACAAAGATGAGAGGCATTAGAGAAGTAAACCTTTTAAAAAGGATCTTTATTTTGAAAAAGGAATCCCTTTTTAAAGCAAATAATTAATTTTTTATTTTATAATTTAAGATATTTATATTAACATGGATCCTTTTCTCAAAGCCCTTCATTTATGGCTGAATAAAACTCCACTGTGTATATATCTCACATTTTCTTTATCCATTCATCTGTTGGTGGGCATGGAAGCCAATTCCTGTCACTTGGCCATAGTGATAGTGACATGATAAGCACGGATGCAGGTATCTCTATCATATGCTGACTTTGATTCTTTGCATATACAGGCGAGGTATAGCAAGATCACATGATCTACTTTTAATTTTTTTGAAGAACCTCCATATTGATTTCCAAAGTGACTGGACTTAATTTATATTCTCACCAGTAGTGTATAAGGATTCCTTCCCACCCTCCCACATCCTCTCCAACATTTGTTTCAGCTATAAAGAACAAAATTATATCATTTGTAGGAAAATTGACAAAATTAGAAATTAATGCATTAAGTAAAATAAACCAGACTCATAAAGACAGATCTGGTGGGAAGGAAATATGTGGAAATTGGTGGGGAAGGACATGAAAGTAGAAGGGGGGAGTATTAGGGATGTGAAGGGGAAGCGGGGAGGAATTTTAGAGGGTAGCAGGGGGGTCATAAAAAGTGTCATAATGAAACCCGTTACTTTGTACAATGAATATATGCTAATTTTTGAAAGCTCTTTTATTGTTATGACTCCTTAAGTCAAATAACCTTTGCTGAACTTCTGTTCACTCTTTTTTTTTTTTCTTCTGCTGCCTTATGTCAACCCTGAGTTGACTTTTTTACTTCAATGAGTAATTCTGCACAATTCTGGCCCAATTTTAAGAAAATACAAGGATATATATCTTCAGAGTATTCACTATTTTGGTATTAAACTTAAAAAATTAGAAAGTGTAAATGAGTTGTAATTATTTCACTATGAAAACTTAATGTTCATTTGTACATCTTGCCTTCCAGTCTGTTTTACTGAAAAGTAAATTGAATTTTTTGGTCTTTAATTTCCCAGAGTATTTCTAAAGTTGTCCTAGTAGAGGAAGCAATTTTTCCCTCTGCCAACACTAAGAATTAAAGCTGTTTAAAATAGCGTTATTCTAATATCTTGATTTTCGAAATGTCTAAGCAATTCTCACATGTGACTTTTTAAAACAACTCACCCATTAGCCAGGTGAGCTTCACACCTTAACTCCAGCATTGGGAAGTGGAGGTAGGAAGATTGCAGAGTGCCTGGGCTACATAGTGACACCCTGACTTAATAAACCATCAGTCAGTCTCACCAGTCAAGTTCTTCTTAATGGTTTAAACCTTACCCAGAATTTAACAAAATCCTAGGGTACAAGATGACTGCTGGATCCCTAAATTAGAGCCCATTTATTGTTAGCTGCTAATGATTCACCATATTGAAATTATGGAACAAGGACATAAATTAGAAGTAAGCAAGACTCATTATAAAGTTTTCAAGACTATTAGTGTATTTTATACTATGTAGTCACAGTAACTACTGAGAAACTTTTAAGTGACTTACATAGATTATTTCAGTTAGTTCTGTGTAAGAAATCAACTTCATGATGAAATCTTTCAGCTCAGTTACTCTTAAATAAGACTATGACTAAAATAGCTTAAAGTGGAATAGTATATTATACATGTGTATAAAAAAGTGCAATCTGTTTCTGGGGGACCATTTTTAGGACTGACTAGACTGTAATGAAATGGATTTGACTTTTTTTTTTATCGTATAACCACATTTTGTAAATCTGCAAGTTGACTTTTTAAAAATCAAATGTAGATATATTTCCCATCTCTTATCGAGTCAATAGCAAAATCTAGCTGTATCATAGTGTAAATTACATTAAGACGTCTGTCTGTGACATGTCTTCTGCTTCAATAGACTTGGTGAATTAAGGCCACAGGCATCATTCCCATATTGAAGTGTGCTTTAACATGCTTTCTCAGATGCCTTGTCTGTCCTTTCCATTGTGCCCATCCCCAGCACCTCCAGAATACAACTTAGCATTTAAGTTGCCTGGAGATTTCACCCCACATCTGAAATGGGGTCTAATCCCTCTCCGTGGTGAGCATACCGCTTTTTCGACAGAATCCACCACCAGGTGTCTGTGTGTATGTTTGCCATTTGTTCATTTAAATTAGACCATTCATCATTTGTAGTCTTCAGGGTCCTTGACACTGCTTACCTTTTTTCTGTTTGATCTGTTATTTGTGTTGTGAATGTTGGTGCATGTGCAGAATGCTCACTTTACCAGCAATAATTAAATTGCTCTCTGCCTAAAGTATCGTTGCTGGTATCACCACTGTCCCTGTTCAGAAGAGCATTTTACACAAAAGTTGTACCCATGCACAGAGGAAGTAGCATACTTTTAAATGCTTAACAATAAGGAGCAAAATAGTGATCTTTAAAGTTTGTAAGGAAAATTTATTTTTTAAAAAGGGTGTTTACATATGAGCTGATGTTGAACCTATACAAATGAATAATTATTCTCTAAGCATTTGGCATATGGTACTTGTGGTTCACAGAGTAGATTTTACTTACTTGATTTTGAAGATGCCAGGAGTTGAAAATGTTGGCATGAGACAGTTCTAATTGCCAGTTTGAGAATGGTTATGTCAGAAACGGAGTCAGTTGCCATGTGGGTACTCCCAATTAGAACCTTCTTGCCAGTATTCCAAGTACAGGTTGCCATCTGTTACTACATTTGTTCAAGGAAAAAAAAAATCAATCAGAAACTAAAATTGGATTGTCATAATTGACAGGACCTCATCTCTAAAACAGGAAACAACTGTAACTTACATTCAGCTAACTCATTTGTCTTTTCTGTTATTAGAAAAACCTGAGGTTTCTAGTTACATGTTCAATCAAGCTTGTTCAATTATAGTATTCATAGATTCTCAACATTGATTGGTTATTGGGTCAAGATTTTTATTTCATAAGAGGTTAGAGGTAACATTCAGTAAAATAAATTCATTAAAAATAAAATGTTCTGAGGAATAAAAGTGTTCACAATCAAATTCTCATAGATACTCATTGTCTTATAATATCTACTATCTACTAAAAGCTCAATATGAGCTGGGCTGAAAGCTGTTTTTTCTGTACTATTTTATGTAATATTAGCAAAATCCAAAAGATAGTTGTTATGTACATTTTGCTGATGAGAAAATCAGAAACAGATAACATACCCAAAATCATACAACTGGTAAATACCTGATCTGGCATGTATTCAGAAAAATAAACATGACATTCTTGGACCAGTCAGTTAAATCATCTTCAGTATTATAAAGAGTAGATCATTTTTCTTAGTAGCAAGGAGTTTTAAATGTTCCCTGTTGTGGATTGAGTTACCCAGGAAATAGATTCTAGGGGTAACACTTGAATTCAGGAGGCATATGGGCAGCCCCGTAGGGGGCTGAGGAAGCAGAATTGAACCAAGGGAGACACTGGATCGTGAGGATGCAGCAGAGGACAGCTGATCCCACCAGGAGCTAAGAAGCTGGCATGGCCCTTAACAGACATCCCGAATTGAAACAAGGGGCCTTGGCCTTTGTGCTTC